TCTTGTTTTGAGCCATATGTTAATATAATTATGCATTTTTAAGCATATATTTGATATTTCGCACCGTTTTGTCATAGAACGCGTGACTCAGTCGGTTTTGTGATATTTTGTTGATACACTTTGCATGTTTCGGACATACTTAGACTTACGACGGATATAATATCTCCACACTTTGCATGTTTCGGACATACGAGGGTTGTCCCAATATTCTGTGACAGGATTGTTTAAAAGCTAACTAAAATAGGTACGAATTTGATATTTTAATATGTTATAAACCCATATAATTGAAACATTTTCACAAACGTACATAGAAAAATATCAACAAACAACAAACATATGCCGTAAAAACCATGGCAACTACTTGAATCGCGGCGCACGTCAAACGTCAAAGACGGCGTTAAATCTATTTAAGGCGCGTTTCTCAAATACTCTCAACGGCTTTCAACGCAAAAATGGTACAGCTTTACCCATAAATCGTCAATTACAGACTTAAATCATGTGGTTGTTAAAGTCTGTTGAATATTTGGATGGCGTACATTAATTTTTTTAACGCAAACATCCTGTCTGGTGGCACCTGCTTTAAGCTGTAGGAAATAGGCGACGGAGACCGTTCTTCCTATTCATGCTTTCCTTATTTTTGCTTTTTTTGCGCAGAACTCTGGTTCCGTTCATGCCTTTAGTAAACAAATGTTCAAGATATGTTGCTAAACTGTTATATTTGGTATATTTGTTGAAAATCGTTACATGTGTCATCTTAAAAAAGTCACGAAACCTGAGTGACCTGTTCACTGCGCCGCAAATTCTTGAAGCGTCGCCATTTTAACTTTCCTATTTTCTATTAGATATTTTCATTTATCCGTAACCTGTTCGTTTCTTAAGTTATTTAACTAAAATTTTCTGAGATGATGTAAACATAGCAGCAGAGGAAGTCAACGCGACATAGTGCAGACATATCATCAGATATTTGAAATATATATAATTAATTTTAGCCTATTCATAACAAAATACAAATTATTTGACGTGCGCCGGCAACTCAATCCAATGTCATAAATACTGAAAATTTCTAAGTAACTAAAGTAAATATTTTGTAAATGATTTGTTGTAATGTTAAATAATAACCTTACCGGTTATATGTCTGAATTATTATCTATTGGCGTTAAAAATAAATCGTCTATAAAATTTGTCACGGACTTTTGGGACAACCCTCGTACTTAGACTTACGACGGATATGATATCTCCTCAAAGACTTCATGACAATCCGATACAAGATTGTTAATTACAGAGAAAAACCAGGAAGATAAAATTACATTTCGAATTACCTATCCCTTCCCCCGCCTCTAATTGTACACACTTATTTTAAATGATAATTGTGTTGTATTAAACTTAGATTTTATGCGGTCTGTTTAATTTTACAATGTCTTTACCGGTCGAAACTAAATTATGTTTTAATTAGCGTCCTACAGAAATAAGGCGTTATAATTATTTTTTTATATTCTTTTTTAATGATATTTTAGATAATATAATGGGTGTTATTCCGTGTCAGTATCAGAATTATTTAAATGATTTGAAAACAGGAAGTAGCAAAATATCTAATGAATAGAAAATGAAATCTTTTATGGAAAAGGTTAAGCTATATGAAATTGTCCTCAATCAAAACACTGTATCAATGAAGTAAACGAACTAAGGAACCCTTCTACATATCATTCTTGTTTTCAAAGCACTTCGTAGATTTATTTTATTATATAGGCAATATCCCGTTTTACACTCATAACATAATTTTACGACGTGTTAAAAGTCTTAATGTCTCAATACTCATAAGAGACCGCATAATTATTATATATATATAAGGCATTTCGATTGTTTCTAACTACTTTACGACAACTCCATTATTTAGCTGAATTTTAGCAATAATTAAGCTAGTTTTTAAATATAACAGTGTACAGTATCCAATGTCCAATCATTTCCTATCATCATGCCCTGTTTGGTCTTTTAAGGGGTGACATTAGTACATGAAAACTGTTAAAATCATTGAAATTTCACAGGCTCAGAACACAGTTTTATGCACAGAACTTTTATTTACATTAACAATAATAAATTATGTTGAACATATTAATAGCATTTTTAGAAGTCACTCATCGCAGTCATGAAGTCAAAAATAAATAAATAAATAAACAAAAACGACAAAGAAAATTTGAATATCGAATTGAAAAATTCATGTTTACAAATATTTGCTTTTGGATAATTCAAGTGATTCCCACGTTCCAATTATTATAGCCTGAATAATGAGCATTTCTATCTTTGATTATACTTCATAAAACCTGTTATAAATTAGTACTGTTACTTTTTTATTTAGTGTTTTCTTGTCTAGACATGCAAAAGAAAAAACTAGAATTATTACAATTACATAAGCATGTTCTTTCGCAGCTTTAAAACTATGATATAAAGATATAAAGTTTATAGACTAACCAAATATCTATTGTTAGTGTAGGATCTTCTTTTGAATAATATTTGGTGTCGTTAATCAAATAAGTAGACACTGTCTACGACCAAACAGACAATCGCAATTGCACTATTTATGTAAAAGGAATCACGGCAGGCTTGTATTTGGAATGTTGACAATATTTTCGAATATTCGTATGCACTTTTCCTCTCTTATTGTCATGTTTAACCAATGATTTTCGTGGTGTATTTATACCTTTTGACTGTTACATAACGAGAGCGTAATTATATTTTATTGTATCACAGTTTTAGGACCTTTCTGTTGAAAAGGTGTCAGAGTTAAATCGTTTACATATACAACACCGTGCGTTAAGTGGAGTGCAGGTTTTAGTAACCCGCACTCCAGGGCATGCCCATTGATTGTCTCATTTTTGCTGGAGTTTACTTATTGTGACGGTAGGGAAAGGGAAGCGATAGAAATATCACATTAAGATGCTCGTCCATTGGTTACTTTTTTCAGGGGTTTCATATTGTGACAACAGGGAACGTGTTTTTATGTTTGACTATGATAAAAAAGAGAAAGAAGATCAAAACACTCGGCAATCTGATTAATACTCGGGGGCAACGCCCCGTCGTACAAATCAGATAGCGTCGTGTTTCGATGCTCTTTCTAACACATACAGCAATTTATTTATAGCAAAGTAGCAAGTTTATTTTATTATTTTTAATATTTATAATTATATAGATATTTAATTATGGTGCAATATGTACATGTATATCTCCGCACAAACATTGTTTTAAATAACATTTACCTTCTAGACCACCATGTTTAGTCTAGTTCTTGTTGCTTGGCTTCACGTCCAAACAACACTGTAAATGTCGTTTGGCGATTTTCTGGATTTACTGTAGCAGACGACCTCCGATCTAACATGTAGTTTCTTACCGTAAGTGATGAATGCAGTTAATATAATACAGTTCCATTGTTAGAACAAATGAATCTCATTTCGTTATCGATAATAAAAGGTATTGTCTCCCTTTAAGCTAACTTTTGTACGCGTTCATATTTATTGATTGACATTCCTACAGAACTAAAAGAGGCGTTTCTCAATTATTTTCTGTTTTGTAATGTTTGAATGAAATTTAAGCTGATAATTGCCAATGCTAAGCCCGTGTTAGGTTAATATTTCAAATGTATAATACGATTTGAGACACAGAACTAAATATTTGATATGAGAAAAATAAGCTGAATTGATCAATGAATTATTGTTTTCATTCATTTTCAAGTGCAAACAAATTAACAATGACTATGTCAAATATTGATACTATAAAATGGTACTGAACCTTATAAAAGCAAAAGGAAAGCAGGTATACAAACTTCATAAAATGTAGCGTAAATTTGGCAGCAAGTTGATGAGGTGTCACTACATTTGTTCCACTTTTCCCGTTGGACAGTAAGACATCAATATACATGGCAATTTTAAATTAAAGAAATCTAGTTTTCATTCATTAATCAGCCTATTGAAGACGTATGCCATTGCATGTGTTCTAAGTTAATATGTTTATCTTAGTACCATAATCGATTACATACTACAATTTCATGTCCGATGAAATCTAGCGAATAATTTATTTATTAAATGCAAATGAACTCTTAGACAAACAAGTAATACACGTTCTTGTGTATTCAAAACAGTTCGTTCAATCGTTAGAAATAAGCACAAACAACTATGTTGTGTGGTTATATTAACTAATACTGTTACTGGGAATTCAAATCTAAAGTTATGATATTATGCTTTTTAGATGTATACACCATAATGGTTGATGGGTCTGAAGAAAATGATGATGATGATTCCAAGGTCTTCTGCTCTTAACTTACATATAATATTGGAATGTTACAGGGATGATGTCTTTTGCAGGAAGATAAATTAGTTCATACTTACTTGGTTAGGCTTTGCTGCTGGGATAAGAATCAAGTTGTTAACGAGACAAAGATGTAGTTTCTTCAATTCAATTGTTATCATTTACATTCAATTAGAAATTCCTTGACAGTCAACGAAAGCTAGAATGATTTCTTTGTTTATGTCAAAGATATGTTTATGTCAAAGATATATTTTACCCATTTTAATATGTTTTCTTTATCCGCGTGATATCAAGGAATAAAACATTAGAAATAATAAATTGAAATAAACTATCTGTTTCTTTATCTTCGTTTGTCCCTTCATTTTCTTCTTCCTTTACTTCTTCTGTCATCAGCCATCAGTCTTATTCGGATGTGCACTTATTATTTAGCACCGCACATCTCTTGAAATGGATTGTATTCAAATTGATTTTTCAAGTTGAAAAAGTGCTTATTCTGTAAATCTAATCATCACTTGCTTTACATATTAAGTACTTTATAAATGTCTCTAACTTCTGTGCATCGGAAATAAAGTCTTCTTGCCTTTCGAAAATAGCAAAATCTGAGAAGAAATATTGCATATTTCAAACTGTTTTGTGCCACAATTAGGCGCTCAATTCTTCTTATTGGTTCTTATTTTGGGTTGAACAAACAAAACACACAATAATTGCATTGAGATAATTTTTTTATTAAAATCAACGACTTCGAATTTACATAGGATGTCGAAATATACATATATAAGACCATTGACAATAACGTTAACGGATAACTAAAATAAAGAATAAATCACAAAATACCTAAAATGATGTATGTTTTGTTAAAAATGCCTCATATTTTTAAGATGACCCAAAATAACTTATATATGTATTTGATCAAGTTCTTCAATTTCTTGGAAATGATATTTTTAACATAATCCCTTGGAAATTACCACCATTGTTTCAAAACTTATACCGCATGTAAATTAGATTACCATAACATATAATCATTGTTATGACATTAAAATGACAAAGATCTTTGACTTTTATTAGATAAGGTTTCATAATATTATTATATATAGAAGTTTGTCAAAAAATTGTGAAATGTTATTCATCATTGTTTAATGTACGTAATGTAGTCACACTGTTTTCGTATTGTTAGATATAACTAGTATAATTTGCGATGAAAGGTTAAGACATAAGTGAACATTTGTTACGAAAAATTACAGATATACACACACGTGCTTTATTTCTAATAGTGAATTTTTTTTCTTGATTCTTGATTTCCTTGATAGTTCAATTATGTTTAGCAATTAATGACAGATAGAAAGTTTTATTTATTCAGTAGCGTTAAAATGCTGAAATGATACATATATGAACACTTAAACAAATTCTAAAATGAGGTATGTCGTTAATCATGCAAGGGTGGTCAGATTCTAGTTTTAACTTGTTAAATAAACAAATAAAAAATGATATACTTATATTTACAAAACCGAAGGAAGATGACGAAAATAAGCATTCCATAATTATACATGTTTTTCTTTTAATGTAATATAAACTCAATATAATGATAAGATAAGCGTTTGACTTACAATACCAGTTGAACAACTTATGCTGTTAAATATATCTACTTGCATTGAATTTTAAAGAAATTTATATGACATAAAAGGCCTAAAAATGTTCCATAAAAGCTTAAGTAATATGTACGCTGCAGAACATTTAATAATCAGTGACTTGAAAAACAACTAAAATTTGAACATGGTCTAGCTATATTTTCCTTTTTCAAATTGATGAATACTGGCCATAAATATTACACCTGATTGGAATTCAATTTAATACCCAAATCTTACGATGACGTAGGTATTCAGTTTTATCTACATTACATTATTTTTCTAGATTTATGTCCAAACTTCAGACAAGAATAGTCTCTAATATTATTTCTGATTTATACCTTGCTACTGTGCAAAATGCGCATGCCAATATAGTTGTTTTACCAAATATTTTCTCTTTTTCTCAAGGGCAATTATTGAATAAAGCTATACAAATTAAATTGTGGTACATGAGAGCTCTAACATTGCTTATTATAAAATGTAAGTTAGGATTTTCTCTGTCAGTAGCCAATCGCTGACAGTCAAGAATTGCACATTTGCATTGAAGAGAAAATAAAAGAAAGCTTACAGATAAAGCGTCATATCGATAGTTTGAACAATGTACAGAAGCTTACGTGTATGTTATTCAAATGTTACGAAGTACTAACTGAAAGCTAAATATTATATAAATTATAAATATATTGTAACAAACCTATACTTACAAATAAACCATATAAATTCTGTCTATATTACAAACATTTGGAATGCTATAAGGGATGGGTTGCTTTATTAATCAGATAAAACATTGTAATTTATATTTATATATTTGTAGCATTCCTTTCAGTCATTTCTTTTGGGTCATCGTTCTAGTGATTCCATATTGAAATCTGTTTTATTGAACAATTAAATTTTAAATCTGATCCGCAGAAAAAGTAGGTAAATCTTAAAGATATTTATGCTCAGATACATGAAAAAACACTGATAATTGTTATATAATCGCTTTAAGTAAAGAGTACACACAGAAAGGAAACGTTATGTTACGTTTTTAACTTTACACATTATATGTAAACACAGTATGAATACATAGTGTCATTAAAAACAACTTGCATTTGGAACTCTATCAGTAATATGAATACAGTTTATGCTGCATAGTTTATCTCTAAGAAAAAACTTGATTTTTGTTTTGAAGCAGACTCAAAACTATTTTAACAAATTCTTTTTTTTTAATCGTTCAGTTAATGGTTTATCCAATTATCTACCCGACACGCTACTAGCATCATTATGATACATATCTTCAGCTATATTTGCCATTTTACGTCAGACAAATGAAACTTACTTCCCTCCTCTCGATAAGAGAAACATTTAAATGAACTGATCCTATATTTCTATTTATATTATGTAAACTAATTTGGAAACAAGAAAGTTTTATATACGTCACTTTGGCTTAAGTATTCAATGGCTTTTGATGAGATAAATTGAAGAGTGATGATTTTTGACGAGGTGGGGTTAGATTTTAAAATGACGACAACCTTATATAGTATCTTCAATGTAATACACGGCAATTCAATTTTATCTAAAATTAAATCATCTGAAGAACATACAGTTTTGGTAATTTGTTTATAAACATAAATAATTTGATGGCAAAATTAGTTGCAAAGACGATATATCAATCATAAAAATAATTATTTGTTGCTGCAATTATCGCAAAAGTGTTCTATAGCAGAACAACCATGCTTGATCGATATTATTTTCAAATTTTGAATGTTGCCTGCTTACCAATAACATCATGAAAATCAAACACATTTACAAAATTATAAAACTGGCTAAATCAAATATCATCAAAATATTTAAAAACACTATCTTGCAAATTCTGTTCCATCGACTATAATGTGCCTCTTTTCACTAAGCACACAATCATATCAGGGATCCCTGACCACTACAAGCGAAACGTTTTACCCGTTTTCTGTTGCACGTGCACTGAGCCTGCAGCATTTAGCCGTGCACACCCATCGTAATTCTCTTCATATATGCAAGGTAGGGCTTCTGTTATGGTTCATTCATTGAAATACACAAATAATAGTTAGTTATCTTTTCTACCCTCTTCATAAATAATCACAGTATCATTTGCATCAAATTTTATTCTATTTACAAATGATGCAATAAGTCAACGAAGTTAATCAGCATTGAATCAACGATAGTTTACATGATTGGTAGCTACTTAAAAATTTACTGCATCATACCATCACACGTATTTCAAACCACTTTCTTGTTTCAAAATGTGACATCAAGGCACATTTATAAAGTTCTGTAACACACCTGTAGAGTTACAAACACACAACACAACATTGTCAACACACTTGTTAAAGTATTGCCATTTTGCAGTATTAATGCGATGGAGCAAGCTGCACTTGTCGACGCTGATGCACCACTGTCGCTTGGATTTGCTGAAATAAAAGGAAGAACGTGTACTTAGAAGTTTAGAAAACAAATGGTATTCTAATTATGCACTGAAAATACAGCAACACTAGGTAAACATTTCAGGCAATTCAAAGTGATAGCTACATTCATTATACAACATTTACTACATCATCTTCTGAAATGAAGTTTAAAGCTCCTAATGTTGGCGTCTTCATTTTGAGAAATTTCAATTTCTTTAGTGAAAAATCACTATAAATGACCTTTATTGTTTGCCTAATTTTACTTACCGTTTATATGTATATATTTCTATTACTCTTACACTTGTTCGTTCTTCTACAATCTCTTTAAAAACATTTTTTACAAATCCAATTTTTCTTAAAAATGGACATGCAAGAAAAAGAACAATCAACATTTTCACAAGTAAAATCATCACATTAAAATAAACAAAAGATAAGAAATACACATGCGATTGATGAAATAATAAATATTAAAAGGAAAAGAAAACAGAACGCTTTTGTTTGCGACGACAATTTGTAGTTCAGTCCAAACAAGAAGAAAAAATACATAAAATGAATGATAGTAAACATGAACTGCTATTGAATATACAAAGAATAGTATGCAAAATCGCATGTTGATATGCAATATATCATATGTTATGTAAAATTATAATACCTTTATTAACAATAATTGCATAAGCTAAGCACAATGCATTAACCAGCTAGATAATCTCGATTTTTGTAATTGTTCACTTCGGACAGAAGAAATAACCGATTTTTCTTGTTCAATTTTAGAAGTGCTTTAAAAACTGAGTATGAATTTAGAATGCCATGTGTTACAGAAAATATAAATAAGGCTAAATAATTTATATAACAAGACAAACATAATTATAAGCGCAGTTTAAATTAGTAATTGTCAGTTTGAATGCTTTTGTTCATTAATCAAGATGGAACAGAATTTAGTTGTTGTTTTTTCGTAGAATAATGAAATAGGAAAATGTGCTGAAGTGTCTAAGTGCCTGAAGGAAAAAATAATTTGTAAATATTAAGGCATGCACGGTCGCTTACCATTTAAATTTCCACCACCTTTGTGAAGCCGATGGTAAGGAAAAGTAAAGTAATATATTTGTGTTCAGTGATTTAAAGTGAAGATGAAATTTCTAGATACTTATTTCAAAAGGGAGGTGCTTTTCTAAGTAAGTAAAAGTAATTAAAAAAGAAACTATTGAACTTGAAAGTATTAAATGCAAACACATCTTAATGTCATAAAAATACAAAAAGGGTACAATGCATGATAGCTGGTTTAAAACAAGGCACATGAGAAAGACATGCATATAATCTTATTATTGCGATATCCGATTTGTACTTTTAACCTCCTTTTGATAAACGGTCATCCATATGAACCTCTTTGAGATATTTCTTTTATTTGAACTTATATATCAACAAAAAGATTTATTTTAACATCCAAACAATCGGAAAAGTTTCCCTAATAAATGTTCCAATGTTTCAATATTTCGTTCAAAAATTAGTGACGAGATCCTGTCAAAAATGTAAATTATTTGCTAATTATTAGGCAAATGTATAATAAATAATTTTACCAAATATGCTTCAATATTATGATTATATATTCTGAATTTATAGAAGTGTAACACGTTGTATATTTTCCTACTTTTTATGAAATTATCAACAAAAACAGGTGAAATAATCTTATCTTATAATATTTAAGCGCACCAAACCCAAACAAACCAATTGAAATATAAAAACGTTTAAAAAACATGACACGGCTGATATAAGTCTGTTAACTAGGAATGTTTTAAAATTAATCAATGACCAAAAAGTTACTTTTTTGGGTTTGTTACATGTGATTAAAGAATTGAATCGGAATATTTCGCGTCAGAAAGTTTCTGACGCAAATTAAGTTTAAACAAAAGTGATATTACATAATGGTCGGCGATTATACACTTTATTTATTTGATTCAAAAGACAAACAAAAATATTATAAAAATTCAATGGTCTTAAGTACTGCGATTTTCAACACATAAAGTCTATGCTAATTAGAACTAACTTATGTTAATAGCAATACTATGTTGATTGTTAAAGTATTTATACTGGTGGGGAAAATACATAGATTTAAACAAGGATACAAGATAAATCTACTTACCACGCTTTATAACATTTGTTTCTGCTGTAATAGAAAACAAATGTTATATAATATAATTCATTAAGCAAAGGAAAAACAATTATAAAGCAATGAAAATTATCAACATCTTTCGTCCAAGTTAATATATGTGTACATGAGTGTCTTTGGAAAAAATCTTTGGAATATAACTATCTCACTTTAATGAAATAATATTGTAAAAATGGAAAACACTGGATGCTAGAAAAAATATTTTTAAATTGTTAGGAAATAAATAGATTCTAATGAAACATATTATATTCATTCATTTATGTTTTATATGTCAAAGGTGAAATATTATTAACATCAGGCTTATAACATATTTGTATCATGAATTATTATACTGCTTTACGATATATGAATTAACATTCAACTATTATTAATCGACGACATGCTGTTAAACACTAAGTATGACCGCTGGAAGATAAAAAAAATTATAATCCATTACAAAAACTGCAGTAAGTATTTTCATATTTAATTTATGTCTTACATTCTAGAAATGTTAATGTAACTGCAGTATTTCGTTTTGTATAATACTGTTCGCAAATAAATAAATTCATTTATTCTTTTTTGAAACAAAAGTACTGATTACTACATAGTCCAATGCCTAAAAACGGTAAGTATTGTTGTGCCTATTTTCGGCAAAATATACATCCGCCTTTTGTATATAAAACAACATTTTAGCTGAACATATTTTTCTTCTATTCAATTAAAGAATTTGCAAAACAACATAAACGATATTAAACCTTAAGATTAAAAAAAACTTTAAGTAATACAGTGTTTTATGTTATTAATATCATCATTCAAATTAGTATGTTTAAATAACATATCACACACTTTATTAACATAAGTAATTGTTAATATATATTTAAAACATTGACTAATCAGACAAAAGCTATGCTAAACGACATCAAAAGCTACGGACTTGAGGACAAAACGCTTTGTGAATTATTGATCATTTAACAAAATATCAAAAAAAGACCATGAAGCAAAAACAAAATTGAGACAATAACAGATATCCGAACTTTATTCATTTGAACTAAAGAATATTCGATATAGGCATGTAGTTAAACACCACAACCCGACTCGCATAAACTTTATTAATTATACCAAAGATATGGAAAACGATTTTGAGCATAGACAACAAAGTCAGTGACTCGCCAGAACCCCTTCAAAGTTTGTAATGAGCGATTTTAAATGTTTATTTTCACTAAAGCACATCGACAGAGGTTTCGTTTTAATAGGCTGCCTCTTACCAGATTCGGTATCAATATTAATATTATCGTCTAATTTTGGAGGGATCTTTTTTCTTGATCTCTTTGCAGACCCTGTGAAAATTGAAGGCGTGTGAGACAAAAGGAAGGCAAAGCTTTACTCACGGTCGTGAAAAGTCAAATAACTTTAAGATGCAACAACACCAGGCAGGTTATAAAGTTATACATGGAAACAAACCGACTTGTTAAATTTGTGTTAGATAAACCTTGCGTTATTTTGCAATGAATAATAAATATAACAATGTGTAGGTTTCTTATATAACGATGAAAAGTCAAACAATCGGCATATAATGCTTGGTTGCTACAAAGAAATTTAACCAGCAAGAAATTGACGTAAAACATGTTTTTATCCATTTCAGTTTGTGTAACTTCATTTTCATTTCGGATACACATTACTTATTGTTAATAAAATATTTCTAGACTTTAGTCATGTTAAAATCTTAAATATGGTTAAACCTGTTAGGGGTACTTAATTATCAGTTTTTAATTTTGAGGACGGCTGTGACAAGTTTTATTGCAGTTACACAAACTAAGAATGGATAATAAAACCAAATTTAAGAAGTCGGTTTTGAATAAAGATAATCACAAGATAACAACATCTCTTATTTTTCTTTTATACCTAATTTAGTCGAATCAATATATTTATCGTCTGGAGAACGGGCCTCAATGATTGGTCCATTCTTACCTTAAAATAATATATATTGAATATATATTGTTTTGAAATAGTATTTTGCATTTTCCGACCTTATTATGCATTTCTTAACAAAACCTTGCTGGTTAAATCTCAGTAATAAAGTAGCGTAAAATACTATTTCACGACGTATGATGTTATGTATTAATAATAAGATACTTTTACAGTATTATAGACAATACAATTCAAGACAAATGGTGTTGTGTGAAAAGATATGCCTGGCTTCTTTAACTCAATTAACTATAACCCAGTCTATTAGAAAGAGAGAACAACATACAACTGATTCCACACAGTTATATAACTACTTGTGGAAGATAAAGTTGGAGACAAACCCTTTACAGTAACTATATCCGTCTCAAGACACATGTTCGAACTATATTATGACCGACTTATACCATACAATCATAAAAAAAATCTCCGATAAAGCTAATACAAACATTTGAAATTATTTGCCTGATGGGAATTTCTTATACTTAATGATAAAAGAAACGGTGAAACCATTAAATAAGTTAATGTCACATACATCACAATTTATGAATTTATGAACCCTAAACACCTGGATAGAAAACTGTTAAAAGTTTTACTCGAATCACTCACCATTTAAAACAATGACATTCGTGCTCGTAATGGCTAGGTCCGAACTTCTACAGATATAGATACCCTTATCAGACATGTCTGCTTTGTCAATTTCCATTTGACTGTGTAACATTTTTGTCTTAGCTATTCTAAACTTTGCGATACTTATTCCTTTGCGTTCGCTTTCTTTTATTTTTTGTCCATCTTTAAACCAATCAATGTCCTCAGGAGGAAACATTTGTCCCGTTGCATTACATGTCAGCACGAGCTTTTTGCCCTTATCCACAAACTGTGGGCCTTCGATTGAGATAGCTGAAAAGAATACATTAAGGAAATAAAAGAAGAGCTCGTGGCCACATAGACATTGATTGTAATAAACAAAATAGTGGACCTGATGATATTTAGCAGAAAAGCATAAAGATGTATAAAGATGTGACAAACAATGACGAAGTTGTGCCATGTGAATACATGAAGAATTGAGAAAGCAATGTGTTTGAAATATATATAATGTATACAGAAAAGTACAAAGTAAGGCAAAGATTAAGAAACAATTATGAAAAACAAGTGAGAAGTTCCACCAAAGAATGATTTATTAATAATGTTGTATAAACTTATTAAACAAAATGTTTTTTCACAAAGAGCTAGATGTGTATTTTGATTGTTAATAAGAAAAAAATGATTCGAATTAAGTATGCCAAAAAAGAACTATGTATTGCACATGCATAAAGTAATTATGTCTTTATTTAACATAGAATTGTTGTGGCTTTATCGTATTACAATCACAAGGGAGACGGAATATTTGCTGCGTATATACTTTGTAAAGGGAGTCGGGTTTAACATTTTAAACAATGCTAGGTAAGGGGAACTGAGCTATTGAAATCAAAGCAACGCAACGAGCTGCAATTTTAAAGTCCTGTTTCTTTCGGCAATTTATGGCTAAAATTTGTTGATATATTAAAACCGGTCATAAACATAAATATGGTGTTTATTATTGGCTAAGAGAAATTGTGATAAAAGTAATTATAATAAGAGCTCCGATGGGATGGGGTGAAATTCGCCCGATGGAAAATTTACAAAAAATGTATCATAGATAAAAACAAAATGTCTAAAAGATTTTTCTTTTTTTTAAACGGACCTAGTAAAAAGTTACATTGAAATACTCTTCAGTGTGATATTTACTGAAATACACAGTCATTTGACTTGACCCATGCTTTATTTCAAAGTGCCAATTACACAATCCTAGGCCAGAATTAATTGCATGAAAAGGGCTTCAATAATTAGTTGACTGCAGCGAAATTAAACTAACCCTGTGTTTTGGTATTACATAATACCAATAATAAACACAAAAACGTGATGTCCTTCAAAAGCAACCATGCGGATACGAGCTTTTCTACGTACACATGAACCACAAGACGGACATACAACGTCATACATATGTCTTCGGCCGTATAAAACTAATATACATATTGTCTAAAGAAATGCCGAAAGAAACAAATGACGATAAGGGTGGTTTGAATGTGCGTTCAATGCCGAAACTGTTATTGCATGAAAAACCATACGTACCATTTTTCCTTGGAGCGGGTTCATCTGAAATGTCAAACACATTAGATTAGAACGTGATTTATTTATTTTATTAATAACATGTTAAACCTACCTATATATTTAAAGTTAATTTCAATTTCTCCCGAGCCTGCTTCATAGAAGTAACCAAAATTAGAGTTAAAGAGTTTCCGCATCACATCCTTTCATGAGCTACCAAATATCGTTATGAATTATCAATGATTTCTAGCAAAATGTTATTGTCAAAGTGAGTAAAGTGTAGTCACATCATACCGGTTCCTCTCTTTCAGGACCCCATTTTTACCTGAAAATAGCCCGGCCTAATGTTTTTTTTTTGTAATTTACCAATTTATTATGAAAGCCTTCATTAAATTCGGAAGATCGTAGAACAAAATGTCTTTTAACTGCATAATATTATCTCTGCGATCCAGTATACTTCAGCCATTTTATATTATAAAATATCATTTTTAAATATTCAATATTTGTAAATTAAACAATTTATCAATGGAGCAAGTTTTATTTCGACCACTTTAAAAAATCCTGGTTAAAGTGGTCAGCTTTTTATTTTACAACGACAATTATTTTACTTGTATATCAATACTTAATGTGTGTTACTTTAAAGTTTCTGCGTTACCACGCGGTCACTTTGACATAGTGACACAGGTTTTTTAAAATATACAATGAAATAACATTTTCTTATCATGTCTGTTAGCTCTTCTTCTTGGTTTTATTTTTCCGCAAATTTTATGACATTTTTGTGTCGATTCATCTCACCAAACTTTCTGGATAACTAACCAGTCCTTACTAATTTCTCCCCATGTGACCGACTACAAATCTCACATGATTTCTGTGAGAGACAAATGCTCATGAGCAAAAATACGCTTCGTCTTATGATCGAACGTGTGCCCCCTTGATTATTAAACCAATGTTCCCCATATTGATCTGAAGGGCGGACATTGAACTCTGCAACGAGTGTACTTGAAGAATAAGGTAAAAAATGATCTTTAACTCTTTTGGCACCTACCTAAAACATTGAGCTGTACATATTTTCTTAAATCTTCTTTCGTACTTATCTGGCACTCATACAGGCCAGCATGTAATGGTTGCACATTACTAATAATGAGATTCCATTCATCTCTGTGAGGTAGATGATCTACATCAAAATCAGGGTCACTAACAAACACCATCTCTCCATAGGTGAGAGCAAAGTTCTCATTGACTTTCTTCCAAATAACCTATAAGAAAATTGAAAAAAATCTTGCATATTTATAGTATGTGACACTAACATATCGATATATATGTTTGAGTCAATTCTTTGTATTATAACGGTTCGATGGTTATGTTTTTGTACTAATTTTGTCCAGAATTTGTATACTTAAAAGTAAATGAAGTCGAAAGTATAACTTGAAAGTTCTGTTTTCTGCAGCTTATTAACGTTTTTACTTGAATAGAATTTTTTATCGAATTATTTAGGGTGGGATCATTCAAACATTATGATTAAAATATTTATATTTCATTTTCTTATTCGTTTATTGTTTAACATGTAGTACAAACACAACTACCTGTTTCGTTCCAAGGTATTTCACACAGCACTGGAGAATAGCCCTGTCCCCTTTATAGTAAGTCACATTTGAGTGCGTGTCACAATATTCGGGCAGGCGGTATGTCCTGGATCCGTGAATTACTGAAAATAAAGTAATATAATAAATTATTTGGATTATAATTATTTAGTTAGAATAGTCACTTGAATGGCCCATTAATGTTTCCTGAACGATCTAGAACTAGGACAGTCCGATGATGTCTTGGAATAAAGCAGACTCGAACTTAACTCTTGCTAAATATGCTTTAATTAATTTTCGATGAGGTTCAACCCATACCAGTTATACTTTACATGTTTTGTTATAATCCTTGACATTTTGGGCATGTTAAAATGTTACCCAGACGAATAAAATACACTTTGTGTCGTTGAGCAGAGCAAAAAATACATTGCATGTTTGCTTCGGTGTGAAAACTTATATAATTAATTTATGTTATCTCAATGAAAAAGTGGCAGCGTTCAAAATTTGGATTCAAATAGTAAAAACATACTTTTAAGAAAAAAACGTTAAATTAATCCTCCTATTAAAGAACGAATAGGTGCGCCTTCTGGGATGAACTTTAGACTTAACAAAACAGCAAAACCAGTGCTCATCTAAGTGATACATTCCATTTTGAAAACAACTTAAAATATCTATCTGTATATTGACGCCCCTGTTTTTTTACCCTGTAGATCTTTGTTTAATTAGGTATGAAATCAATGGATGTCCTGCTTAAACGAACTTACATATGTACCATTCAATTTACAAGCGATATTTTATGTGTTAAGTATTGCAACAGACTACAATGATGAAAGATATTCGGATGTTATGAGATAAACACTTAAATATTTTAACAGGTGTTGTGAGAGAAACATTATTTGCTGTTAACTAACACAAGGTATTTAGTTGAATGAATAACGCTAAGGGATTTTTTGCTGTAATAAGAACAGTTCAAAGCTGATTATGTTTATCAAAGTTATAATTATTATTCTGGAAGAACAAAATCTTATCAATATTTATCAATGTTTGTAATAAATAAATTGTATCAGTTTTTTCAAACACAACAAAGCGCGCTTCAATTGACCTAATGTCAATTACATTTATTCTAGAAAACACATAACTGGTTTTCATTAATTGTTTTTTTTTTTGTTCAAAACAACACATAGAATAGCCAAGCGCAATTAAAAAAGTAAATTACTCGGGAGAAAAAAAATCACAATGTTTGAATTTTCAACAGCAAATCTAATAAACACATTAATCTCTTATGATTGTTAAATCTTCGTTAACAATTCCCTGGTGTTGGATATTCCCTCCAGCATCATTCTTAATTTATTTCAAATATTGCTCATTGCAGTCAAAATTTCTTTTATGTGATTTCGTGAATTCAAATAGATCATATTTTTGCATCTCAGCGCTAAATAAACCTCGTGCAATTTCTTTTAATTCCCTTTATACCAAGTTATCATTCCGCTTGAAATAACTTGTGAAAATAATGAATACTAAGTAGGCATTGACGCCTTGTTTCTTCACTTCGGGGGAGAGTTTCTCTGCAGTTAATTCAGCTTTATATTTGTGCAACATTTATTTAACATGTATGTTAGCACTCGAATTTTCTCCGAGACTTTCTGGGAACTTTCAAGTTGAAAATGTTTGCAAATCTGTTGTAAAAAATAAGAATGTGAATCAAAGAATTTGTCACATATGATATAAGTTATAATAGAGAAGAATTACAAGTGATCGAAAAATAAAATCTTTTGTGAATTACCCCTTACCGTGCTTGTACCGAACATTATAAGTCTTTGCCAAGTACAAATAGGAGCATGCACTCTGACAAGACTTAAAATAGCTGGTGTATTAACTTATAGTGATAATAAACATATTCAAAACATTTAGCGATTGAGTTACTAGTATGTGAATTTGTAATTCCTACCATTGTGGTATCTTTTTTTTATCATATTCAATATTCGTATTATTCCTGTTTCAACAATTTACTCCATATTCCTTGTCGCTGTTTATAATGTTACGGGATCAAATGCATTTATATTAAGTTTCAATTATGCTTAGAAATGAACGACAAGTTAAGTAATAATCTTAATAGTTGCAGCACAAATTATGAACGAGCTACTGTAAATAATATAGTCTGTTTAGGCAAACGTGATATATTATTTTTCTCCATGTTTTAGATATAACTCCTGATAATTAAGCATTCAAGAAAATAAATATAAAACATGGTAATAAACTAGAAGGTCGTCCAGCTGGTAACAAGCGTGGAATCAAATTGTATATGTAGTTAAAGTAAAATAATTAAGTATGCCTTCAGGCATCAATGTATATTTTTACCGTTTTATCGCACCCCCCTCGGCATTGGCATAATAGCGAAATTGATCATCTCAATTGCATGTTGAGTATAATCAAAGTGTGACTGTATCTATATTTATAATAATATGTAAATAATTTAGGAATCATTAACCTAACCTAGATAACATTGTCCTCTGTGAATTGTTTTGTTACACAAACGAGTTGCAAAAAAGCAAAAATGGCGGGCTTCCAGTCAGCATAACAATCGTTGAAAGATAGAAACAAAGGAATGCTTAGTGTTGTTTTTTACGCTTATACAAAGTTGTATTGTCTGATAGAGGATGACATTCAGTAGAAAATGGTAAGGAATATTGAGGGTTACAAACAACGTTAGCACCTTCAAGTGTGACATGACGAAGTACTAGTGGCAGTAATTATACATTTGGCGGCACCGTTATATATCTGATAGGAACGGATTATTCCGCGTTGCTTATAAACGAAACGTTATAATTCCATTCCTCAAAAATGTACATGCGCTTTTGGGACACGGAATTCGACAAAAGATAACAAATAGTAAATTTAAGACCAGTTTATAATGTATGAATTATGCATGTAAATGTATTCTTTGATGATATTAATTTAACAATTTTAGAACTTTATCAAAGGCGCTTTTATACCTCACTGCTCGTTGTTGTCTTTTATAAACATACCAAATGAAAAAAAAATACTATACAGGTCTTCTTTTTTACTATCATTTAGGAATCATCCTATCCCCTTTCCAAGATTATTGTTCCTTTGATATTACTAGAATATTTTTAATTGTTATTTTATAGGTCATTTGTAATACTTACTATTACATGCTGATAAAAGTTATTGTTAATATCATTTTTGCACAAAAAAAGTTTTCTTGCTCGAGCTCAGATATCGTTAATTGGGATATATATTAAAGACATTGCATACAGGATTGTGATATGTTTTTTTTTAATCACTTTAAATGCTTTATAAACAATTGGTTGAAACCCGCATCTTAAAATCACCAGATAGTTGATCGTAGTTAAAGTCCACATTTTTAGGTAAAATTGCAGCAGAAAATATTCCTGGTTATAAACAAAATACGAAATACGAAAAAATAAAATATATTGCTCCCAATTATAAGCTTCTTGGATATTGAACTCTGTTGGCATATTTATGTCATATCCAGATAAACAATATCAAATCAGAGAGTATTCCCTAGCTTCACTTATTACATGAAGCACGATGCTTTACACGGGGAATAATGTAACACTTATTACTGATATTGTCTCTATCGCATGTATTACAGATAGACGTTAATTACTTAATCATATTGTATTATCTTTTTTTCTATTATATCTGTTTATACAATCACTGGTCCAGTAACGAGATTCAGATGGTACAAATAACAATATGGAACACGCTAGAGACCATTTAATCAATGACCAGAGCGGTTTATTGGAGGCATAATTATCAAACAGTATATACATTAGCAATAAATTGCTGTTTGTCAGGCGTATACCTAATGAAAAGTACATTTTATTGCTATTTGTATACAGCACATTATTGAAACAAGTCTTTTGTTCAAATGGTTATTTTTTCCCTAAAGCATTTTGTTAAATAAAAAATTCAGAATCTTTATTCTAAGTGAATATTTCTAATTATTTCTTATACCTAATGACGTTAGAGTTGAGAGAAACAAAAATCGAAATTGAGTTCATGTAAAATCGAGTCGCTTTGAAAGCCCGTTGGTTAGATGTTTAAACAACTTCTGTAAATATTTAATGTAATTCTTACATAAGTTTTCAATAGAAAAATATTTTCTTTAAACTTTTAAACAACCTTTTTTGAGATCATTAAATAATATGTAAAAGGGTCATGTGCCATTGATTTCAATTTATTAGTCTTGTTATCGTAAAAGAAAGACATAGAAAAAAAAAACAAATGGAAAAGAAAATCGACAACAGATGAACATAACAAGCTGTAATTGGATTTTAAAACAAAGTAAATTTTCCTCTGAAATATTCTAAATTGATGCCATGTTTTTATATAACACTATATCACCCGAATGAATACCAGATGCCTCATCAAGTATATGTCAATTAAATAAAACTAATTAGATATATGAACCAAATTTATGATAACTGAATCCTGCACCATTCTTTGTATTCAAAAACCAACTTCTTGTCATCCAATCCGTTCAATAAAACGCTTTGGGCGGTAAATGTGCCGATGATGTATTGTTTGATTTAAATAGGAAGTATAAGATTATCACACCTTGAGCAAAACGTATATCAATCATTTAAGAGTGGTATAAATTTTGCCGACGTTACGCTCATATTTCTAATGCAATCCATATTAATAATATTTATGCAGGCAAAGTATATGTGATTAAAATGACATTTAAAAATACTTATGTAAATTAAATAAAATTAGTGATAATTAATCACGTGTAACTTAACATATTTATGATAACACGCATACTTAAAGAATAGTAATCGTATACAAAATTTGTTTTACATCTTTCAAACATTCTTTTAAAACTTTCAAACTATCATTCAAATTAAAACAGTTTACTCGCTGTCATTTTCTCTTTTTTCCTTTTATTTAAAGCCACGAAGAGGTTAAAGTTCGAGACTGTAAGAAGGCGTTTTAATAAGATGGTAGACGATATCTTCAAGGTGTTTAGATTGATGTGTTTGACTTTAATCAGGCGTAATGAGCCGGTTATTTTAATCAAATTTGAGAACTATCAGGCGGTGATCTTATTAAAACCAAAAACATACCATGATGCTTT